ATAAAATTAGGGATCTGCATCCCAGGAGTAATGAAATCCATAAACCATCCATATAGGCCTCATTCATCTGCTGTGGATTCTGTGCTGTCACGGGAGTGCATACTATGCCAACAGAGTTAGTATGTTTGGATGGTGCCTGCAGTAGTCCTATTACTTTTGTCTTACTGACTCATTCATCTCTCTGGATCTCCCCGGAGGATATAGTTCTCACAAATAACTATGTGAGAATGGCTGGGAAAGTGCCAGAGAAAGGCAGGCAGCCTCACACTAAGGGAAGCTAAATGGTCACTGGGCATTTGCCTATGGATTTTTGTGTGGGGAAGGGTATCTGACATGAATAAGGAGCAGTTTGAACTGATGCTGCAGCTCTCCACTGAGATGCTGGTTGGTAGCTTGCTGTGCCAGCTCTTACCTCTGTAGTTGTTATATAATGGGTTACTCTAGGAGGTCCATGGAAGAAAGTACTCAATAGGCTTGGGGCAGTAACTATTCAACCACTATGGACCTATATCAATATTTTTATAACTGGTACAGCTGAACCAACGTGTACTAATGGATGATCAGGCCTGGACGCAGCATACTGCCCTTTAAAGCAACATTTTAAGTGGTGTTTTTATCTTATGATTGTGTCTGCCTAACTGAAGTATACTCTAATGTACACTAAAATCTTTCTTCACGATGATAAACTTGTCTGTTTTCTCCTCGAAGTTATCAATTTTTGATACATATATTTTAAATCTAAAAGACTCATCCAACTTCAGAGTTCTTTTATTTTCCATATGAACTGAGCTTTTATCAGCATGACCTCCTATCTCTAGTAATTTTTTTTGCCTTAAAGCATAGTTTATATATTACTATAGCTCACTAGCTTTTGTTTAGAATGTTTGATATATTATTGTCTATCTTTTTGAACATTTAGTAGTATGATATTTATTAAAATTAGTAATATTTGGATTTATTTTCAGTCACTTTATGCTTTCTTTTTTTTAATTTTTATTTTTAAGAGAGAGAGAGAGACACACAGTGCTAGCAGTAAAAGGGCAGAGAGAGAGGGAGACATAGAATTTGAAGCAGGCTCCAGGCTCTGAGCTGTCAGCACAGAGCCCAATGTGGGGTTCGAACTCATGAACCACAAGATCATGACCTGAGCCAAAGTTGGACACTTATCTGACTGAGCCACCCAGGTGCCACTTCTTTTTTAAAAATTTTTAATGTTTATTTACTTTTCAGAGAGAGACAGAGCATGAGTGGGGGGAGGACAGAAAGAGAGGGAGACACAGAATCCAAAGCAGGTTTCAGGCTCTGAGCTGTCAGCAGAGCCCAACACAGGGCTCAAAGTCACAGACTGCAAGATCACAACTTGAGCCAAAATCAGATGCTTAACTGACAATGCCACCCAGGCACCCCTGTGCTTTCTATTTATTATAGCTTTACTACTTTTTTCCTTTCCCTTTCTTGGCTTTTTCTGGAGTATTTTTTTCTCATTCAATATTTTTTCTTCTACTAGTCTGGAAATAATATATTCTTTCTTGTATTTTAGTGTTTACCTTGCAGATTTTAATATGCAAACATTAAAACCTAAAGTTATGATGTCAAATTCTCCCTCAAGAAAATTTTCTTCAATTTTAGTTCCATCTTTATTAATTCCAAAAGACAAAATTGAAGTTATATTTAGTTTCACATGCATATTTCCCACTTTCTTTATTCATTTTTTCTACCATCTCAGATCTTCCTGTTGAAAATTCTTCTCTTTGAACAACTTCAAACTTTATTATTGAAGGTCTGGTGGCAACTCACTGACCTTTGCTCGTGTATGTATTTATTTCATATTTGTTCTTGACAAAAATGAAGACTCCATCTTTGCTGGGTACAGACATCTAGACTGGCAGGTGTTTTTCCCTAGCGTACTGAAAATAATCACTACTGTCCTCTGATTTACACTATTATGGATGATAACTGGCTATCACTCTCATAATTAATCCTTTGAAGGTATTTTTTCTCTAGCTTTTAAGATTTTCTATTTGTTGTCCTGGAGTCCCTGTATGTCTAGATTCCTATTTGGGGTCTGCTGGGCATCTTAATCAGGGTCTGGTGACTTTCTTCAATTCTGGAAAGTTCTCAGCTGTTATTTCTTCAAATGGTTTTGTTTTTTTTTTTTTTTTTTGCCCCATTATCTCATTTTCTTCAGGAACTTACCAAATATGTATTGTGCATTTTCTCTCTACGCAACATGTCACAAAACCTCCTTCATATTTTCAATCTCTGCATCTTTTTTGTATCCATTTTAGACAATTTCTTCACTTGTTTACAATATACTAATTCTCTCTACAGCAATCCTACATATTATTATCTAATCTATTAACATTATCAAATTTCATTTTTCAAAATGTCATCTTAGAAGATGTCATTGTAAAACATTTTGGAATTCTTTAAAAATTACCTCTACTCCATGTATCCTTTCATTTCTTTTTTAGTGCCAAATTCTCTCCAGTCTGGTCTCTATTAAATTCATAATTTTAATTTTTACTTTCTGGGTCACCTCTCCTTCTCTGTACTGAGAAGTCCTTATAAGTGACAGGGTAATGTACGTAGAAAGCTGATTTAACCCATCTAACTGAAGATTATGAGAAATTATCTCCTTTAACACGGATATCTTTTTTCTATAAAATTATTTTAAGCCTTATGAAAATCTGGAGCATATTAGTAGATGTAGTAAGAATACTAACAAATTAAAACACAACTATTTTTACCTATCACCTTGACATAGATAGAAAAGAATGGCAATGTGCAACGTTGGCAACAGTATGGAGAGACAGGCACTTTCAAATGTGTGCAACAGGAATGAGAATTAGTAAAATCTTCACAAAGGGCAATTTAATAATGGTATCCAAAATCTTCACAACCTTTGACTCATTCTAGGGAATTATCATGAGGACATAAATCTAAAAATTGTATTTATAGAAGTTTTATTTAAATGAAAAATTTTAAGTAATACTGTAGAAATATATTAACATAGGTAATTCACAACACACTATGAAAAAAAGGAGACAACAAAATGACTCCATGTTTATATTTAAATGAACATACACAGGGGCACCTGGCTGGCTCAGGTGGAAGAGCATGTGACTCTTGACCTCGAGGTCGTGAGTTTGAGCCCCATGGTGAGCACGGAGGTTACTTAAATAAATAAAAACTTTTAAAAATAGGTAAACATATACAAAGAAAAAAATTCCCTGGATAGCCATTCAATCTCTGCAATTATAACTGCTGTTCAGCTTCTAATTTTGCTCATTTATTGCCTACATTTTCTAGAATGAGTATATATCAATTGCAAATTAAACAACATTGAATTATTTTAAGTACCAGAGGACCTAACTACTTTTTTCAAAAATGTCTGTATGGAACACTACTGTCCACATTCAAACAGAACTATCAGTAATATACTCCTCATTCTAATAGCACTGGCAATGGGAATTCCTTCTTCATAATTCGTTCTACCCATCAACCTGTACCTAAAATCCCACTTCCAAAGAGTAGAAACGGCTGTTTCTGAAAGCCTGAGAGAATAGGTAGGGGGGGTGGGAAGAGAGAAGTTGGGGTATGGAGAAAAAAGGAACCAAATGTTTATGAGGAACAGATTATCGGTATTTTAGGAGGAGTTTTAGGAATATAGCTTGGGTGGAGAGGAATGGGGAAAGGCAGTTTCATGAATAAACTTCAGCAATAGCTTCTCCTCTCCTCCCTGTACTCAGGTGCACGTTCATTGCTACAGGTTCCACCCAACTGCTATTAGTAGAAACCCCAGAGATCCTAGCACCAGGCATAATTAGGAAGAAGCATCTGCATCAGTGAAATGGAATATGGCGTACCTCCTCACCAAGATTTCAGACTGTGCAACTTTTCTCCTTTGTTAGCATGTTTTAGGTTTTTCTTTAGCAAAATATTTTGCTTTGTTAAGCTATCATCTTTCAGCTTCACTAGCATGACAACTGATCCTCCAACCACAGGTCCTCTAACATACCATTTCCTCCATCCTATCCTGGCTACTTTAACTTCTATTCATGTTTCTGTTCTTGATCAAATGTTATTTCTTCAGAGAAACCTCAAACACCCTAGTATACAACAGATTCCTTCAAGCCTTTATCTCAATTTATAAATATACATTACAAATTATTTAGTGTGGTTATTAATAATGTGTTGAACTACTATGTCTCAGGCTTAATAAAGTGGTCCCATTAGCTGGTTTTGCTCACCACTGCAACCCCTCCATCTAGAACACAGCAAATGCTCAACAAATATTTGCTGAATGAAAGAATGAATAAATAAGCAACTGAGCAAATGACTAGGAATCCAGAGGCCTTGATCAGGTAAGTTAAATTAACTATGTCCTCTCAGGGTAGAACTGTGTGTCAATTTTTTCCTTGGTTCCTTGTTGAACTTGTTCGTGTACTCACCAAAGTTTAAAAAATACCTATTATTTTGAAAATTCCCCACAACCAAAAAGTAAACCGAGGCCAAACATGAAATATTCACTCTGCCAGGAAAACGGCCGGATACCCTTAACAGACGCACCCTGTCTAGCCCGGGGACTTCACAAACGCCCCACATCAGAAGCCGCCTCTCCGCCGCCGCATCCCTTGTCCCCTCAGGGCAAGTCAGGCGTGGAGCGCGTGGAACCCGCAGGCTCCCTTCCCTCGCCAGAAGCTTCGGGGAGAAAACCGCAAGCCCAGGGTGACAGGGAAAGAAGGCGCATCTGCTGGGTACGTATCCGCAGGTCACGTACTGCGTACCAGAGAAGCAGGCTCTGGCCGGGCTCGAGCCCCACGGCGCGGCGTCCCGAGGAGCACACGCGAGGCCCCGGGCCTGCCTGCCCCCAAGAGCCGGGAGACACCTCCGACAACCACTGGGCGCTTCACCCAGTGCCGGTGTCCCGATCCCCGGCCGCCGCCCACGGGCGGCAGAGGCAGGCGGGCACCCGCCCTCCGATGGGCCGCGCTTACCCGTCGGGGGAGTACTCGAGGTTGAAGACGGCGCCGTGGGTGCGGGTGCTGAGGTACACCGAGTCCGCGGGATGGATGGAACCATAGAGGTTAGTCATGGTGCGGAAATTGTCCCGCGCCGGGTCCACGAACAGCCCGCGGCCCAGACTGCGTTCTCTCAGCCACCCGAATAGCCGCGCGCCGGGGCCGCCCAGGCCGGCGCCGAGGCGGCCCCGGCCCCCCGCCCTGCAGTCGGGCCCGGGTCGCCGGCGCGGGGGGGAGGGTGGTGACGGCTCTCCCTGGGCGGAAGCTGCCGAGGAGTCCAGAGCTCCGGGCGGCTCGAGCTCCCCGACGCGCGCGGCCAGGGACAGCGAGGGGGCGCCGGGACGGCGAGGGCTCCGGGAGGGCGACGGGGGAGGGGCTGCGTCAGCCTCTGGCTGCGGCGGCGTGGGCGGGGAAGGGAGCGGCCCGGTGGCCGCTGCCTGCCCTGCACGGGGTGCCGGCTCCTCAGCCCCGGTTCCGGCTGTCCCATCCCCTCCGGGACTACCGGGCCCGAAGGTAAACATGACCAACGCACCCGCCCCCTGCTCCCGGCAGCTGCCCCGCCGGCCGACACCTCACCGCTCCCGCTCCCGCCGCCACTTCCGGCGTGCGGCGGCCTAACCGCGCCGGCTGGGAAACACGTGCCGCTCCTGGCCACCATCCGTTGGGGACCGCGAAAGCGGGGACACAGCCGACGGCTGGTGTTTCAGCCCTGGAGGGAGGGAACAATTAGCTGTGTTTGAGCGCAACTGAGAATGCCCAGGGTGCGGGCTGTATGGGAGAGTGTTTTCGCATCAGGGTACTGTGAGCGACAGGATCAGTCTGTAATTGTGCCCAGGGATGACTGGGCCTGAATGATCAAAGGGGTGGACTATGATTATGCACTGTTACCCTCACTTTACGATAAGGTCACAAGGGGAAGAAATTACCATATTGTGTGCAGGCCCCACATATTTAGGGGCATGGTGTACTGCCCACTTGGTCTGGGAGTCTAAGGACACAGGTTCACGACTGCACTAAAAGCCCAGGTCTGTACAGGGCCTGGAAAACTAGGGCCTATTGGTGCCCTGAATAATCTGCCTAACTCCCAGCTACTGCCCAGTAGGTCAAGATTTTATCAAGGCCAATGTCTTCGTCTCCTCAGGAAGGAGAATATATCCAGCAGGAGTCACGGAATGGAGCTGGATCAAATCAACCTGACAAGCAACAGAGCCCAAGATCAATCCTGCTTACATGTGCCAGGGCACAGATGGCATGTCATGATGCAAGACCCTGCACCAGTGCTGTTAAAGATGAATATATACTACTCCTTTGTGAAAAAGAGTTAACAGGAACTGCGGCATTTCTTCCAGAGGGAAGGAGAGTCTTCAATAAAAGAAAGCTTGAGGTACAAGGAAAGATAGATATAAGAACGGACAACTCTTCTAGGTATTGACAACTTTTGAAGGAGAGCTGTGTTGTAGAAAGCTCACATTTGCTGCTCTTTCCCCTGCAGGAAATGGCAGTGAAGCTAGAATCTCAGAAGGCCAGTCATCCCCAGTTGCTGTACGAGAGCAAACTCTGTAAGATTCTTCAAGGTGGGGTTGGCATCCCCCCCATACGGTGGTATGGTCAGGAAAAAGACTACAATGTGCTAGTCATGGATCTTCTCGGACCCAGCCTCGAAGACCTCTTCAGTTTCTGTTCAAGAAGGTTCACAATGAAAACTGTACTTATGTTAGCTGACCAGATGATCAGTAGAATTGAATATGTGCATACAAAGAATTTTATACACAGACATTAAACCAGATAACTTCCTAATGGGTATTGGGCGTCACTGTAATAAGTTATTCCTTATTGATTTTGGTTTAGCCAAAAAGTACAGAGACAACAGGACAAGGCAACATATACAATACAGAGAAGATAAAATCTCACTGGCACTGCCCGATATGCTAGCATCAGTGCACATCTTGGTATTGAACAGAGTTGCCGAGATGACATGGAATCATTAGGATATGTTTTGATGTATTTTAATAGAACCAGCCTGCCCTGGCAAGGACTAAAGGCTGTGACAAAAAAGCAAAAATATGAAAAGATAAGTGAAAAGAAGATGTCCACTCCTGTTGAAGTTTTATGTAAGGGGTTTCCTGCAGAATTTGCCATGTACTTAAACTACTGTCATGGGCTGCGCTTTGAGGAAGCCCCGGATTACGTGTATCTGAGGCAGCTATTCCACATTCTTTTCAGGACTCTGAACTACCAGTACAACTACACGTTTCATTGGACAATGTTAAAGCAGAAAGCAGCACAGCAGGCAGCCTCTTCAAGTGGGCAGGGTCAGCAGGCCCAAACCCCCACAGGCAAGCAAAGTGACAAAACCAAGAGTAACATGAAAGGTTTCTAAGCATGAATCAATGAACAGAAGAAGCAGAGCAGATGACCAGAGCAGCCTTTGTTTCTCCCCAGATCTAGGAATTTTAATTCATATGTACACTAGACAGTGGTTGTGAACAACCATTTACTTGGTGTAAAGAACTTAATTTCAGTATAAACTGGCTCTGGGCAGCATTGGTGATGCCATGTCCCGAGTTGTAGCCGCTGTAATTGTGAATATTAACTGAGATAGAGAAACATGGTGTCCAGTTTTCTACTGCATTTTTTCAAGTGGAAAAGTTCACTAAATGGCTGACACACACAAATTGGTGGAGAAATTGTGCATATGCCAATTTTTTGTTAAAATCTTTTATTTTGAACTATACTGCTTTGAGATCTCATTTCAGAAGAACAGCATGAACAGTTTTCAGCCACAGTTGTGATGGTTGTAAATGCTCACAATTGTGCGTTCTTAGGGTTTATCCACCCCTGGGGTTTGCAAGTTGTTCACTTAAAACATTCTTAAAAAGGTTGGCTTCTTGTTTGCAAGCCGGCTTGATATGGTAGCTACCAAAGATTCCAGTGTTTGAGCGTACGGAAGACTCTGCCTGCTTACCTGTGCTAGAAATAACAGCATCTAAAGTGAAGACTTAAGAAAAACTTAGTGACTACTAGATTATCCTTAGGACTCTGCATTAACTCTATAATGTTCTTGGTATTAAAAAAAAAAAAAGCATATTTGTCACAGAATTTTAGTTAACATCTTACAACTGAACATGTATGTATGTTGCTTAGATAAATGTAATCACTGTAAACATCTATATGATCTGGGATTTTGTTTTTATTTTGAAATGGGAGCTTTTTGTTTACAAGTTCATTAAAAACTAAAAACCATTTCTGTAAAAAAAAAAAAAGAAAGAAAGCTCACATTTGCTGACTGAGGATAAACCTGAAGGATCTTTGTAGGAAGAGCTATCTTGTGAGGATAGATCTGAATGATCTCCAGTGTAAAGGGAATGAGATTCATAGAGCTGAACATTCAGCAGATCCTCCTACCAGAAAAGTTAGTTATTCAGCTCTCCTGTCCATGAGCTGATTGAAAAAAGAGCAAGAAGCAAGCATCCTCTGAGTTTAGAGATCATAGCAGCCATTCCTCTGGGGAAAGTCTCCATGTTGCCCACATAGAGCAGAAGGGGTAAAGGTCTGTTTGTGATTAACAAATTATGTCCCTTAATGACCCCCAACATTTGGCTGCAACAAATAATAGAGGCCCTCTGCTTGACCCCTAGGTTATGGTCAATGGCTAAAATTTTATGGTCTATAAAACACTGACCATTTACCAATATTATTAAGTTTTTAATAGGTAAAATAGAACAGTTTTAAAAGGTTACATATTCCAAGGTATTTAAGATGCAGTTTCAACAGAAAAATATAAGCTCTGGAATGAAAATTTGTGCTGCCTCAAGATAATCAGATTTCACAGTTCAGGCAAATCAGAATTAACACGCTATAGTCCCAAAATTGATTAAGAAATGTTCACTAACAATTTAGAGAATCTAGAGAAGCCAAATGGAAAGAAAAAATTTTGTAGGTTTGCAGGTATCTCAGGTAGTTAGATAATGAGAAAATTCAGAAGATGGCCAAAAAAGGGAACGGTGGCTGTAACACACAGAACAAGTCATTCATTAATGCCAGGGTTTGCTTTTTTCCTTTTCTTTCTTATGCTTCTACTTAAAATGGGAGCCCTCAGTTATTCCAAATAATTTTTACTAAAACCTAAAATAAGAACAAATTACATAAGGACTCAAAGTCTATTAAGAGGGCCATGATTTTACAACCCATCAGTAGAAAAAAAAATTACTGGAAGTTAATTGAGAAGGTACTAAAGATAGACTAACTGTGACTGTCCTATTTACCCACTGCCTTTGTGTACAACCAAAAGGCCTTTAAATACAACCATGTCCTGTTAACAAGGAAAATGACTGCAAATCACAGGCTATATAAACCAATTTTTGTAACACTATTTTCAAGTGCTAAAAATTTTTCAACTTCAACTGCTCAACTTCACAGATACCAGTTCTTCAGAAATGCCTAAAGCATCCTCTGAACCTCTTTGCCCTGATGTTCCTTTTAGATCACAACACAAGGAAATAACCGGCAAAGGTTTCCAAAGGTTTCCTAAAATTAGCTAACGCTTCCTCTACACCCGGGTATCACACGCCCCTGGATACCCCCAACACTTGGGATCTATCTCATTCAGCAGGCAGGGAGCAAATTCATTTTCTTTCTTCCCTATCCACTGACTAGAGGTTTTTTAAAAAATTACTTCCTAAGGGATGTGTTATAATGCAATGTGCCTGAAAGATAAACACTGGTCTTTCTGTTTAGGCTGTTATACTTTTGGAGCAGTAGGTTCAGTCCTGATGTCTTTGACATCATTGGTTCTGCCCATCAGATAGAATTCTTTGTTGAGAACAAAACTGACAAAATGAGCAAGGCAGCTGGACATGGCAACAAACAAACAAACAAACAAACAAAAAACCCAAAAAAAACAAAAACAACCCTGAAATGGAAGCAATAGCTCAGGCATCTTCTCAACTGAAGCCATGTACTTCAGCTTTTTGAAATGGTCATCTGTTATATGATCAGCTTGGAAAACAGCAAGTACAAACTCCAGCACTGCCTTTTTCTCGAGCAGGGAGATCATACTTACTCCAGTTCACACAGACGTGTAAGAAAACACAGCCAGAAGCAGAATCTGTTCCTCCCAATATAGCCAATAAAACAAAGGGCCTAAGAAAATGAAAAAAAAATCCAAGGTTGGAGTAAAGGGGCAAAGTCAGGCCAAAATAAACTTTCCAGTTAAACTTGATCAAGCCCAGTGGGATGCAAACCTGAAACTGTGGCTCAGCACCACCTCTGCCAGAAGTCTTGTTTGCTCACTCCAGCTACAAGCACCTCCTCTTTCTCCTCTAAACACTATGGCATCAAAAATCTCAGAACCAAGACTCAGAGATTCTAAATAAGGACCCTAAATGCAAACCTTTTCATATGAGTAAAGTGAAGCTCAGATCATTTTCCCTTTGCATCCAATTAACCCCAAACAAGACTCAATATTTGCAAAATTAATAGCCGACACTTAGCAATTACTATGTGCTAACAATGTGCTCAATGCTTCCTATTATTTTACTTCTTCCTTTTTTATGTTTATTTATTTTTGAGAGAGTGT